TATGAAATCACAAAAGACCCTGGATAGTCAAAGCCATCCTGAGCAAAAGAGCAACGCTGGGAGGATTACCATACCAGATCTGAAACTATTACATAGCTATAGTCATCAAAGACAGCATAGAACTGGCACAGAACCAGACACATAGATCAACGGAACACAACTGAAGACCAAACATGAGTACATGCAATTTCAGTCACCTTATATTTGACAAAGGTGCCAAGTACACACACTGGAGGAAAGACAGCATCTTCAACAAATGCTGCTGGTAAAACTGAATCCCTACCTGTAAAAGAATGAAATTAAGACTCTTATCTATCACCTTGCACAAAAGTAACTCCAATTGGATCAAAGACCTCAATGTGAAACCTGAAAAAAACTCTGAAACTGTTAGAAGAAACTTAGGCAGTGCCCTGTAAGATATAGGTGCAGGAAAGACCTTTCTAAATTGGACATTAGTTGCTCAGAAATTAAGATCAACAATCAACTAGTAGAACCTCATTAAATTAAAAAGCTTCTATAGAGCAAAAGAAACAGCCAAGAAACAGCCAAGAAAGTGAAGAGGAGGCAATAGTGGGAGAAAATCTTATCAGCTACGTATCTGATAGAGACTTAATATCCAGAATATATAAAGAACTCAAAAAAACAAAGAATCAAGAAAACAAATAAACTAATTAAAAGATTGGCTATGGATCTGAAAAGAAATTCTCAAAAGAAGAAATAAACATAGCTAAGAAACACCTGAAAAAGTGTTCAACATGCTTAGTAATTAGGGAAATGCCAATCAAAACCACTTTAAGATTTCACCTTACCCCAGTCAGATTGTCTAAGAGCAAGAGAACAAATGATACCAAATGCTGGAGAGGATGTAGGGAAAAGGGAATGCTCATTCACTGCTGGTAGGATTGCAAATTCATGAAACCATTATGGAAAGCAGTATGGAGAGCTCTTTAAAAACTAAAACTGAATTAGCCGTATGATCTGGTTATACTACTCTTTGGCAAATACTCAAAGGATTCATCCTACTGCAGAGATACTTGTACATCCATGTTTGTTGCTGCTTTTTTCACAATAGCTAAGAAATGGAAATAATCTAAATGTCCCCCAATTGATGAATAGATTATGTAAATGTGGTACATTTATAAAATGGAGTTCTACTCACTGGTAAAGAAAGACAAAAATCATGAAATTTGCTGGTCAATGGATGGCTAGAAATTGTTACAAGGAGCCATAATCTTGAAAGGGAAGGAGGAGCTACAGAGAAGGGGGAAAATAGGAGACAGTTATTATCAAGGGGAAATGTAGGTACTTTAACTGGGAAGGGAGGAGGGATGTTAGACAGGGAGAGAGAGAGAGAGAGAGAGAGAGAGAGAGAGAGAGAGAGAGAGAGAGAAGAGATCGGGAG